TTCCTGGGAGCTTTTGGACTACAGTTTGGCTGTGGCTTGCTCCTGAGAAAGTCTTTTTTTGGTTTATTTGTGTTTGTTTTTTTGAGATGGAGTCTTCCTCTGTCACCCAGGCTGGAGTGCAGTGGCGTGATCTTGGCTCAGTGCAATCTCTGCCTCCAAGGTGCAAGCTATTCTCCTGCCTTAGTCTCCTGAGTAGCTGGGATTACAGACAAGAGCCACCACACCTGGCTAATTTTTATATTTTCAGTAGAAATGAGGTTTCACCATGTTAGCCAGGCTGGTCTCGAACTCCCGGCCTCAAGTGATCCGCCCGCCTTGAGAAAGTTCTTTTTAATTTTTGGTTTCACATCAGTCCTTTAAATAGAGGACCAGGCTGTGACCGGGTCATCAGGACAGGTTATCTGCTTCCCCACGGGTGTGCCTGGGCTGCAGGGACCTTGTTGCTGAGACTGGAAACGGCTTGTTGAGGCAGGTGCTGCATTCGTTTCTGGGGCTGCTGTAGCGAGGTACCATCGACTGGGAGGCTTAAACCACAGAAATTTATGGTCTCACAGTTCAGGAGTGCCGGGATTATAGGCGTGAGCCAAGGATTCCCTTTCCTTGAAAGTGACTGATAACGCTCCGCTTTCCGCTACAGCCATTTCACCCTCTGCCTGGTTTGGTAACTGAAGCCTTCTGAAATGAACCAGTGTCAGGCCCCCGTGAGGACTCCATCCCCAATTCAGGAAGCACAGAGGTGGAGCATAATTCCCCTGATTTGTTTATGTCCAGCCGACTTCTCTCAAGGTTGTGTGCCTGTTTCGGAAAACTTTTGTTTGCGAGACAATGTGAAAGAAATCCTTAAAGTTCACGGAGTGCCAGGTGGATATGACATTCTGGTCCTTGGTTCCCCCAAGAAAATAGCAATCTCCAGAAAGCAAGTCAGCAGAATCCCGGAATGTTCCTCGAGGCCTGACAACTTAAGAGTGATCATGGGAAGGCATTCAGAGGACCGCAGCAGAGGATCAGGTCAAGGGAGCCTATCTCCTAAAGGAAAGATCGAGAGGAACCATGCCCCCCACTACCACCTGGGCTGCTCAGCTGGGCACAGAAGCAGCCAGGGATATTTTAATTCAGATGCTCACATATGATTCAGTTGCCACATGAGGATGATTCGCGGCGATTTTCCACCTTGAGGTAAAGCAGGACAATGCATGTAAAGAGGTTTGCAGCCCCAGGACCGGGTTTTCAGCTGGTTTTTCTACCCCAGAGTGTAAGGCATGGAGGCTATGCCATCAGCACCACAGACGGTCCCAGAACCCGTAATAACGTTCCAGAAGGTTTTCTTGCTAAATTAGTGTCAGAGCTCCAGGGAACACATTCAGATATAGTTACACTGAGTCAGAGCTTGAGGGAAGAGCTGTAAGCTGAGAATGAGAGAACCGATGACAAGGCAGCGGCCTCTTCTGGCAGTTCCGGAGGAGCCCCCAGTTAATGTGACATCATCCCTTGAGGCAGCAGGTAATATTTACTTGGCACTTAGTATGTTATGAGCACTGTTCCCAGTATTCTACAAACACAGTACTCACAGCAGTGGAGGTGACATTGAGGTAGGGGCTGGAGTTTTTTTTTTTTTTTTTTTTTTGACTCCCACTCTGTCGCCCAGGCTGGAGTGCAGTGGCGCAATCATAGCTCATTGCAGCCTTGAACTCCTGGGCTCAAGTGATCCTCCCTTCTCAGCCTCCTGAGTAGCTGGGACTACAGGTGTTCACTGTTGTACCCGGTGAGGGTTTGTGGGGAGGTGTCTCGTT